TATATATTGTTTCAGCCGATTTATGTACGACCAGACATTTAATTGATGGAGTTAAAAATGTCAGTAATCCTCGCCGAACAATGGCTCTATGGAAATGTTCCTAATGCAAGTCACAGAGCTGGTCGTCAAGCTGTCTTCGTCGTTTTTCCTATACTATAACTTGAATGTGCGCGCGGGATAATAGTACTAATCTATCCCTCTCCTTAACCTGGTCTCAACGAAGTTTTATCATCACTTGTAATCGAAGCTATTCACGTGGAAATACCGAAAGTATGTCTCCTGCGCTTAATGTGCCATGTTCAGCTTCCTTACCCGCTTTGATAGAGTTTTTTAATTAAATCTGTATTAGAGCCTGGTCTCGTAGAAGGAAGGATTGACAGCGTTCGAATTCAAGTGCTGGACAGGTTGGATAGGTATGTAGTACTACTCAATTGTAACGCCGTTCAAGGGCTACCATGCTCCCGCTCAGCGGTCCGTGGTTTTGAATACTAAATGGCTTCTACCACTTGTCTTATTAGCGAAAACTGTATAAAAGGAGGCTGATTCTGCGATGTTCTGCAGTTTACATCCCAGGTTAACTACATCAGCTCCCTCACAATGAAGTTCGCTCTCGCCCTCCCCGTCGCTTTCGGTCTTCTTGCCGTCGCCGCTCCCAGCCCTCAGTACGGAGTCAGCCAGTGCAACACTGGTACGTTCTTTGTAGCTCCTTTGATATTCATAATGGCCCTTCAAGTATATCATTGTTAATCCCTCTGTTTACAGGTAAGGCCTCTTGCTGCAACACTGTCCAGGATGCCAGCAGCGGCCCTGTCTCCACCCTCTTGGGTCTCCTTGGTATCGTCGCCGCGGGTATCACCGGTCAGGTCGGTTTGGGTTGCACGCCTATTAGTGTCATGTAAGTCCTTGACTCTACTCATATTTTGGATTTTCTGACACATGGGTCTTTTAGCGGCGTTGGCCAAGGAGCTAACTGTGCTCAACAAGCCGTCTGCTGCACGGGAAATAACTTCAACGGCTTGGTAGATATCCTTATGAGTATCCTTTTTTTCTTACCTAACATGATCATAGATTAACGTTGGTTGCACTCCCATTTCTGCGTAATTTTCCAACCACGGTCGTGAATCTCGGACACTGGTTGTATTTGTGGTTGATTCATATTGTTGTGTAGATTATGACAATAATATGGATGCTTGCTATAGTTGTGTGTCATAATTAGTGTGTATCGACGGATGTCCGTGTGGTAGGATATTTAATTGGTGTGGCTATAAACCTTGACTCCCGGAATCTCTACGCTCTGAGCCTCGGTCATTCCTTCCCAATTTCATGTTCATCTTTTCTAAACATAGCTTCACGTGTGTTTCCGTAGGTCTCCGTCTCCGTAGGTTCCCGTCTCCGTTCGCATTGAGTCACTCTAGGCACTCATACAATGAATTTGGCTGCCAAACTGAATATACTATCCTTACCCTTCCATACCGAACCATTCCTCGGATGAAATGTCGCTGTAAGCTAATTTATCTCTTTTTGGCATTAAGTACTCGCTTACAGAGTTTAAGCAAGCTTACCCCTGTTACTGCGGGTAATCATAAAGCATAAAGTTGACTTCGCTTGCCTTTGACAAGTTTTTCAGGCGATGTCATATCAAGTTAATTATCATTGGCTTAGCCTTGATCCATTATTTGTAAATCTCAGATCATACGCCAGCTTCTCACACGTTGATCCTATGGTATGCAGGGACGTTTACTTGACAGGATCAGAGACTTCTCATCTAGCGAATTCTGAGCGGATTGATGACGCTCCCTCACGTGTCGTCTCCACTCCGCCGATAGCTATCAGGATTCGGGTTACAAAGGTAACCGAAACTTTCATTTCCATGGATTTTATTCGATCTCTCTGAAAATAAATTTCTCTGTAAAATCAGGAGTAAATTCTAATATCAGTTTACCAGGGTTTACCGATAGCATATTGGAATGAGACATAAGGTCCGGCAGTTCAGTTTTCTTACCACTCAGTAAATCTCCGAGAAATTAGACTGGTCACCATATTACTTAAATAGACCTGAATATATATTGATAGACAAGTTAATCATGTATCAAAGCTCAGTTTTTCAACTGGAATGTAAACAATCCAGAACTAAATGTCTGGACAGCATGTAATCAAACGAATTTAGTGAACGCACAGAGAATTATGAAGTGATGAGAATATTAATCTGATTATTCTTCGTTGAATAACTAGCAGCTTAACTATTGACTTCTTAGCAAATGGTGTGGGTGTTGTAGAAGTAGGGTGGGTGTATATGGACGCTTTAGACAGGAAAGGAAGGTTGAGTCACGGCGGCTGTCACGTCCCGTCCAAGAAGTTCTCATCGTCGCGATCTGAGTACCAGCTCCCACTCTCCTTTATTTACTCATTAGAGCCTCCAAATGTTACAGCGTTCCCTTTCTATGTGGACACGACCCGACAGAAAAATCTATTTTGTACAATAGGATCCTATCGTCAATGCCGAATTTCAGCGCCGCTTTGTTCCTCCTTCAATCGATACCAGACCGACGGACTTATTTTCGTTGCAATACAATCGATGCACTGTTAAAGCATTGCGCTATATCATAGACAACGATCGCGGAACAATGTCCATGCACATCGATGGTGCTGCTTCGGACAACGGGCGGGAGGATGCGCGAGCCGGGTTTGTGTCGTCTTTGGTACTCAAAACAACCTATCAGGGGAATTGCCCCTAATGGACTAAAACCGACTTCCAACCGAGCGGAGCTTCGTGCTGCGATGTGCACTTCAATTACGATGGTGGTGGTGGCGGTGGTGGTGGTGGCTGTGTATTAGTCGGACTAGGTCCCTGAAAAGGCAACGCCGGGGGCTATTACTAAGCTACGCCATACAGTTAATGAGCACAAGCTGCGGTCACATGAAGCACTACAGCCACGAACGGCAGGCAAGGTCCTGATGATGTCGATCCAAGAGAAGATTTCCAACGTCATACACGATCGATTCCAAGCCAAGTCCGTCCGTGGGGGATCTGGTCCCTACTCAACTAAACCCCCATCCTAACATCACATTCTCGAGTTACGCCGGTTGGATTCGAGAGCATCTCGTGCTGGCCACTGATTCGGAATATCTGGTGCTTGGCGCCTGCGAGAGGGTGACAGGCTGGATAAGAAAAGGCTGGAAGACCGAAGCTGGAACTCCAGTTAAGATTAGGGATCTATGGAAGATCCTTGTCAAGGAACTCAACTACAATGAGAAGACAGGGATCCCAAGTGCAATTCTGGCTGATACCTCGAGAATTGAATATGGAAGCAGACACACTTGCTAATCAGGAGCTCAGGCGAGTATATATATCATGGAACAATCTTTCTGATTTCCATGAAATTTATAGCAATTTCCCGAGCCTGAAGAGCTTTCTCCCATTATGGCAATCAATATCTGAAAGGCAATCAAGCACGTGAGACCACTAAGACTCGTCTTTGTATGTACCTGTACTTCTAGTATCTTTGTAACAATACCGTTTGTTCAGTATTTATTTATTGTCATCAAAATATTCAGGCTTGATTTGCTTCTCCATCCTCCCGTGTTGTCAACTTCAAGACACGGATATCATTTAATATTATTCAAATATCCATCAACAAAGGTAATAAGAAGTGGTAGGAGTTACTATAGTATACTGATAGTTAACTCAATATCTCTCCTATAAATCAGAGAAAGGATGAAGTCATTGGAATCGTTCGTGTACGGTGTTCGAATAGTCTAAACCACGGGCCTGAGGGATCCCCGATTATCTGCAATAGATAGCAGACAATGTCATGTCTAATGAGAATGTGTTTCCGTAAATTAAATAAATATGACGTTGATAAATGGGAGGTATTCAGGAAAAATACTTATTGCGACGATCTTTAAATAAACTACAAGGAGGTGATAACAAAACCAAAACCAACAGGAAAAAGGAAACTGCGTTCGTTAGTTTCCCCCTCAAAGAGAGGTACTCGTCCTCTGGGCCACGAAGAGGCCAACGCTATACCAGAGGGAGCCCCAAATCCTGAGCTTGCGGTCCTCAGATGGATTCCACCCGTCGTCAGCTGCCACGCCGAGGATAAGACAATCCAACCAAAACTGGGCCAGTGCATCTCGAAACCGCGGCTCTTTCATGGGGCCCTCTTCGAGGAAGACGATCAAGGAAAGTGTCAAGGCTGCCAGGTTCGTCATAATGTCAGCCAACGTCGCTAAGCAAGAATATGCCGCTATCGACCAGAGTACAAAACAAGTGACTCAACTAGCCTGGGCAGTATCTCGAGATGCGTTCGTCTAGAGTTGTCGTGGAATCTATCAAAGGAAAAATACCTATATTCATAAACACTAGTCATTAACAAAGTCCCACCGAACCGGCTGCTGCGTCGAGGTGCAGACCACCAAACAGAGACTAGGCCAGGGCCGATCGCTGAACCACTTCATAATCTCTCGACAACCCCAAAGAATTGACGACGGGCAGAGCAACGCAAGATACCTGTCTACTAGCAACGTCGCTAAGCATGCCACATGTTGTCTATAGTATTCGTATGGCTTATACCTCAGCCCCACGGGATCCAGCGATGTATCTGACCCAGCCTCTGCTGTGGGACTGGAATATTAACCTGAGATGATGGTGGTTGAGGGTAAAGAGTGAGAAGACCCTGTCGTTCCAGTTGGAGACATTTATATATCCTCGCGGGGCAGGCTTCGAAATTTACCTCCGTCGTTCTGGATCGTACGAGGTTGATTGGAAATCTGTCTCTACAATGATTCATGAATAAGCACTTAGATCAGTAATGAATAATCCTTCCTAATTTGATGTTGACTTTGAAATAGATACAACAGCGGGAGAAGACAGTCTGACACCGTCGTTTAATATTACCTACTAGTCAATATGTCTTTGGACCTGCCTGCCCCAGGATGATCATGACAATCTCTCTTCTCCATTCGGCCTGTGGTGCATGAGGATAGATTACAAAGATGTTGGTTTGATAGTTCAGTTGGTGGAACATCTGCTTAACATGCAGAAGGTTGTCGGTTCAAGTTCGGCCCAGATCAGTTGTTGTGTCTTTTTGACGTATATTCATTTCGGGTTCAAGCTAGATTTTAGACATTCAGATTAGATTCTTGTGGCACATTTCACCAATAGTCAGGCACGCAGATAGTTGATCGTTATTACGGCGATAAATAAGTTCCATGAAATCTTTCATCAGCCTTTTTACATAGATGTTGTTCACACATTTTCATCAAGGCCATATAAATGTTTTCCATATTAGCATTCTGGTAATGGATGATACAGATACTCCGGCTTATAATGATGTATCAATTGTCACATTGACGACTAATTTATGAATGGTTTATTTTGAACCCAATGTTCCACGACGGACTTCACCAACGCAGGTTGGTCACGTACAACCTAATAGCAAGATATCTTAAATTTCGATCCACGCATGAATAAAAGAGACGTACGAAATGTCCAGCCTTTGGTATCAAGATATAGGTGAAATCACCGGCACCCTTTCCTACCGAGCGGACTGTCGTGTTAGGTACTTGAGTATCCAACCAAACCAAATCTTCAGCATTTAAAAAATCGCGTTGGAAAGGGCTTTGAAGTAGCTTAAGCTGAAAGACAGTCAGTCTTTGAAATTATTCAGCAAGTCAACACGTACGCACTGATGAGAAAACACCTGGCCAACCGCAATTTCCATCGTCTGCTCCAATATAGTCTGCATTGTGGTTAAGTGACTCGAGAAACAGTGCTGAAATACAAATACTTACGGAGTAATCTAATTCCATCTTTGAGCAAAGGCGGGAACATCAGGTAATGTGGCTGAATTCTGCGCGCCGATGTCAATTTAATGCCAGCAGCTATTATGAGATAGAAACATACAGATCACCAGCTGAAAAGAACTCTTCGCCCACTTTTTTGTTGAGTGCCAAAAACGTAATCTCATCTGGTACCCCGAGTTCTGCCTTGATAGATGCATTATTGAACGTATCTGTCATCCACGTGAATTGTGGAAAGCAGTCTCCCATATCAGGGTAAGAGTCGCACTGCAGTAACAATTAGAACCCAAACTGTTATTGTAGTGGAAATTACTCACCTTCTTACGTATATCCTCAAGAACAGTTCCATGTGTGTCGTCAGAGTTTAGTTTCTCAAAACACTTATCGGTGGCCACTACTCGATTTTCCACATTCGGGATCTCGAAAGCAAGCTGGATAGATTGTAGGCATTCTGGGAGGGCGGCGTAAAGTTCTTGGCAAGTAGTCGAGTTGTAGATTTCGTGGAGAACGCAGCGATAATGTAAGAGCCAGCGGAAATGCGAGATTGGATCCTGGAGGACACATTAGCCTATACAATAAAATGCGTTGAAGTTGCTTACTGATAAGGGATTGCTGAGCATCATGGATTCCAAATTGATGTGATGAGCACCCGGTTGTCCCTTCCCTTCAGAGATGGCTTTGTTCTCAAAGTTTATGACAGTGGCGATATTTGGAACATAGATTCCACCGTATGAGCCTCCTGAAAGAATGAATTTATTCCTGATTGGATAATAATGAATATTTTAACCCGGCATATTAAATGTATCACGACTTACTTCCTGAGATGAGGATATAGGACGAAAAACTTCTGGAGGAAATCATACACGTCGATTGCGGCATCACGGCTGTTATTCACTCTCGTTCCATAGGAATACCCTGCGCCAATAGGCTAAAAAAAATCGGGTTTATATAGTTAGCTAATGCAGTCTGACAAATATGATGAACGTACATGGTCTAAGGCGACTAGATTAAATTGTTCTGTCCAACGATTCTTGTTAGACGTTAAGCCTTCCGCTGAAATACCGCATGGCGATTGCCCAGAAACGGGATTCATGAGACCACTTGTACCAGGCCCACCTCCAATTGTGAGACTGAACGTAAAATTAGTATTAAAATAAAATAAATAAAAGAGCGTGGCACATACATTACGGGTGCATTTTTAGGATTATTCTCAGCCTCGAAGTACCTTTGTCACGAACAGCGAAATGAGTCAAGACTACATGCTCGATAGAAGGCATCTCACCAAAAGAATGATCGTTTTGGATTCTCTGTGGTATCACCATTTAATCCTATATATCCTGAATGGGATGTTGATCTGCCATTAGAGGTTGAACAGCTAATGTTCGGAGTCGTTACGCTTGCGTGAAAGATGCCCAACGAGCGATTTGAACCGTCGGGCTTGCATGTCCAAAGGAGTGCAAGCGACCCTATAACAGAAATCAACAATATAGCTTTCAAAGCACGCTTTCGTGAGTCCTGTCGCATTGTTGTATTTCGAACGATCGGCAGAGCAGTTTTTGACGCGTCGAGATGCTCTGCCATATGACCCAGAGACGGAGGAAGATTTGAATTCAACGTCTTGTTCATTTGCACCTTTCACTGTTTAGTCCAAAATAAGCTACTAAAACGAAAAGGCATTGCAAAAAGATAGTACTTACCTGCAAGTTCCTATGTATCTTCCGATGATCAAGAGTTGATCAAGAGTAAGGAGAGGACAAAGACGATTCAGACTCGCAGACCCCGTCCAGACATATCGACATTTCGAGCCTCACTACGGCCCTAACTCCCAGCCTATCGCAACTTAGAAACTACAATCTGAGTAAGCCTAGCTGCTGCGATCCGTGATTAGCTTCGCGTAATCGTGAGTCGTGGGGATGAGTCATGGCGTTCACAAGCACCCACTGATACATTTTAGGACGTTCACAGACGTTCACCAGTGACCACAATAATCACCGCGTTCATCCCAGTACTTATCCCTGCAATTCAAGCATAGTCTTATATCTGAATTGAAACACGGTGTCCGCTCCTTAGTCCTTGGTCAATCTACAACACTTAGCGAAAACGTCGTCCCGTTTCTGGTGAGTATCACGCTTTCAGCTCTTAAGATGTATTTGGAATAATGATGAAAGACATTTTGTCTTCAGAACAAATCAAAGGAGCTATTGTTCGAACACAAATTGGGTGTTGCCGATCAGTCTCAGGTCTCTCCATTGTCCAACACTCGGCCATCATCTAGTGTTTCTTTTTTCCACCTGATACTCTTATACGCGTATTAGAAAGGCGTGGAAAGGTGGCTATGTACACTCAGACTACTATTTGAGACTAAATGAACTATTCTCACAGGTTATATTTCTCCATCTTTCCCCGGAGACCAGCTCTCGACCAAACATCTAAATCAAAAGGACCGCTCCCTTTAATGACCTTTCAACATTTCTGTCATGACTAGTCGAATAATTCCACCCGAAATTCTTGAACATATTTTTCAGGAAGTCGACGAGCCTCTTGACCTACTCTCATTCGCTCTGGCATCGAAATGGCACGCAGAAGTAGCGCAACGCTATCTTCCATATTCTTACATTCGCTGCGATGTTGCACGACTAGAAGTATGGGACACGTTCCAGAAAAAGCCAATTCTTGCTCGACGAGTCCGAAGACTTGAAATTGTTGAAGAAGATTCACTCCTCAAGTCCGCTGCCATTATTATACCGCAATCTTTGCTATCCAATATCGACACCGGCGCTAGTGACCCAAAATCGCTACAAGAATACAATAAGATTTACGAGCACTGTATTCCTCAACTACTGCGAGCATTACAGGAAATGCATAATCTTCGACGATTTCATTGGCTCCCTTGCACGAGTTCTGCTCGGAATGTATATTTTGCTGGTATAGTGCATGACACTCTTGCCAAATACTGTCCCAACGTTCAAGAAATGCATGGCTATGTCGGAGAACCATGTATTTCCACGTCCTGCCCAGGCCGTGCAGGTCCTCGTCCAAGTTGTGATTACGTGCTAAGAACGCGAATGGTAAAAGTACATATCTCATTATATATTCGGAAGCTAATTTGTTTCATTGACAGCTTTGTCCATTTCAAAATTTATCCAGCGTGTATCTCGTCCTAACATCGAAAACGCGGCATGGACAAGAAGGATGGACGTCTTTCTTTGATGAACTTATGTCAAACAACCCAGCCCTCAAGAACCTTCATATAGAACGACCTGATTCTGAAGAATGGCAGAACATGGATATGAAAACGCTCCTGTATAAAACGAGGTGGCCTCGGCTCTCCCGTTTTTCTGTTAAGGGAAATATTCGGCTGTTGCCTATGTCTCCAGTCACTCCGAATCGAGATGAGTTAATGGCTCAGTTCCTCATTAGGCATCCGATGCTACGATCCCTGCAATTACGGACATACTACGGACCCCAATGGAGCAAGGAGCGTTTAGAAGCTGTGAAAGATCTACCTGGCCTACCCCGTCTGCAATCATTGGACATCGGGGGGTATTTACCACTCAATGGAATACCGCTTTCTATGTTGTCGTCCTTGGAATACCTCGCCTTACACGAAACCCCAGCAACTGACTGGCTGAAGTTCGATTTGAAAGACTTCGGTAGACTAGATGCATTGAGACATGCAACTTCCTTGAAGGTCCTTGCAGTTCCACCTCAAATTCTTGGAACTATCAAAACTCTGGCCACAGTCATCCCCTCGCTGGGCAGAATTCAATTCTTACGTGATCCAACTTTTCAGTTCAAAAAAGGCGCTAATGTATATCTTTTGTTATACATATTATTCATTCATTGATTAATGAAATAATTTCAGGAAACGGTTCCAGTCAATTTTGCTGCATCTAAAATGAAAGCATTTGCATTATTCAAGGAATTGTCACATCTTGGAGGTTTCCTTGTCGCCATCAATCCAACAGCCGGTGGTCATCGGACATTCGACAAGATGCTGCAAGGCCTAGCTAATTCCACTCAGCTCCAATTTATGGAAATTTTTGACGAGCTGCAAGAAGTTCCTCGATGGCTCGAGATCGAGAGAAACGAAGAAGGGAGTTATTCGGGGTGGCATTTTGTGAAAGATAGGACTGACCTGCATTATGAGAGTTGGGGAAATATGCTGCCTGGAATGAGTGTTTTATTGCCACATCGAAATCGCCTGGGCTTTAGCGGGAGAATGTAGATTATCAGGGATTGTAAACGTGGTGTTGTAGCCTGTATCCTGG